GAGGGGGGGGGGGGGCTATTTAATCCTTATTTTGTTCAGAAAAAGGGGGGGGGGAGGGGGGTGAAGAAACACATTTGAAAACATGGTATAAAGCTGGATATTTAATCCTTATTTTGATCAGAACTTGAATTCTTTCCACATATAACCAAAATCGTTTATTAGTGGAATCTTCCATCATGAGAATATTAAAGAATAATATAGTAAACGTAAAATCTTTTTAATCCCTTACCGCGTGATCTTTGTCTATATGGAAGAGGAAAGGAAAGGAAAGGAAAGGAAAGGAAAGGAAAGGGGAGGGAGGGGGGGCGAAGAAACGCAATTCAAAGCATGGTATAAAGCTGCATATTTAATCCTTCGATTTCATTGAATGTATTGGCCTATTTTAAACTTTGCATTCATTTTTGATTGGAAATGCAGAAATTATAATTAAAAGTAAAGGGGTGTTGCAGTATTGCATTATTTGTCCAGTTTGTGTAATGTAATAATCATATTCTATGGTGCAGATTGAGATTCAATGCATTCGGAAAGTGTATGTGGCATATTAAGAATTTCAGGATTTATTTCCCTTACCTTATGATTCTTCAAGAGAATTTGGTATTCCTCTCAATTTTATGACGTCAGTTGTCGCGCTCTCACCAAAGGTCGTTAGCATTTTGGATATCGTAGACTGGAGAGAATTCATTTTCTTCGCCACATTTGTCACTGTCGTGTAATGATATGCTTGTTTTGCCTACGATCTGGAGATCTATTCATTTAATTTCAAGTCAATGGCGCATTTCTATGAATTCTCATCGCATTGATCTGTTTTACCAGTATACGGGTCAAATATATCATTTTACGCAGATCTGAGCGATGACATATCACTTTGAAATTAGGTTCCATTCTTTTATGTTAAATTCAACTCAGACATCAGTATTGGTAGGCTTCCTTAACATTTCTGATTACACAAGATATATTCACTACTTATATGTCTTCATTTTAATTAATACTAACTGAACTAAATTTAACAGTACTTAGAAATATAATAAAGTTCAAGCGTGACCAACGTCCGTACTTTGTATGTGAAATTTATTCTTCCTCAGCTTCAACGTGAAATTTTGATTTTTTTTTTTAAATGTTAGATCTAGCTCTATCTGTATAACAACTTGGACGATACTTATTTTACTTGAAGCCGTTTATATCATTGTAAGATTTCCCTTGCAAAATAAAATTGCGTGAATCCTTAGTTGACATCATGAAAAGTCCTTTTTTGTATTGAACGATTTTCGCCGTATTCTAAGAACAAATATGCCACGTTGAAATTTACATTATTCTATTAAACCGATGAAAGACTGATAAAGGATATTTCTGTAATAACAACTTTAAAAAGATATTGAGTAATCAACCAAATTTCTTAATTCTACTCTTAAAGGTTGAAGTAGTGTAAAGTCTGTGATTTCCTCTTAAATAAATTATAGGAAATTTTCAAGGACGAAAATCTTTTTATTCTTTCTTATCTGACGCGAAAGGCTTTAAGGCAAAGTCTACAAAAACGTTTAAGTGAACAACTAAGTATACAGGGTTAACAGTGTAATGTTTGGCTGAAGGAAATCCCTCTACATCGATTTATTTGATGTCTGAAGAACACCGTGCTTAATTGATTAAACGGAAGATTCGAATAAAGTTTTTCTCCAGGCGCGTAGTTGTTCAATATGGACATAACGTCATTATCTGAACTAAAGCCTTCAGTTTTCACGCCGGATCACGGCGAATGTTTATTGACAATTTGAAGCTTTTCGGACTATCGACATATTTTCTGACAAAGACTTCCTCGTTTTACATTTGTTAGCAACTTGAGTTCGAAACAAATATTGATTGAAGGCATATCAAAGTCGTATGATTTCATTTATTTTTTTTATATATTTGCCGGAAACCTGCGACATGTAACTGAATTATGGAAATGATGTGGGTAGGTATTAAAACTCTCTTGATAAGATGGCCTAGTCTGGAATTAGACAAACAAGCTTCACAAAGAGCCAGGGATTAAGAATAGTACAAGTTGATTATGATATTTCCTTCGAGAAACTAACTTAATAAATAAACAGATTCAGATAGTGGGTAGACTTTGGTTATCTTTTACACAATGGTATTAACTAGTTTTAGAAAATTGAAGATGAAAATTGTATTAAACAAGTATTCCCTAGACATACTTCGAAAACAGAATTCGATATTTCATTATATGTCTTTGTTTAGGTCCAATGACCTACATTAGTAACTTTTCGGACTGATTGTTTCATTTACATTTATGGTCCTCAGGGGGAATGCGTATCCCTACCCACGAAACGGAAGGGAGGGCATATATGTTAACCTTTGCAAATAAGATGCTGAAACCACGAAATGGCAATAGAAGAAACCTCCCCTCCGAGATCTATAATGTTTATGGAATTAATCAAGATGTACAAATAACCAAAGCAGTTGATAAAATAGAATTGGGAACATAAACATTTTAATTTACAAGCAAACGTCACTTAGATCATTTCATATTACAAACAAAACAAACGTGTATCATTTAATACTTAATATACATAAATATCTATCGCTTCCTGGGCAAATCTCAGCTCTGGGTTTACGAACGAATGTTCTACCAAAACTGAACAAAAAATAACTGTTAATCACAAAGTAAACGTCAGCAATCATGTCGCGGTGTGTGTAGGTTCACCACCCCCTCTAAACAGTTCCACTATCAATCGTGTGGGTCTCTGTTTTGGGCGAACATTATTGTTATTTTTCCGATTTAAAAACAAAATGCAATGACCACTGGCGCATTTCTAGACACCAATATTTCCCATACGGATATTTAAAACATTGTCAAAAAAATAATGTAAAAGAATGTCCCATATGTTCAGCTTATTGTGTCACAGTAAGATTTGTATTGATCCAAATTGATAGGTTGTTTGCCATCATATAATGTTGGAGCTTGTAAGATAATTCCAAAAGTTCCAACAACACAAGCAGTTGTAAACACCCACAAAAAGACTCTGTCTAAAACCATAGCGACGTACTTCCAATCTTCAATAATCTACAAAATAATAAATTCAGACGAAAATTATGACGCAATTACATAACTTAATATGTCTAATATATCACTCTAAAATTGATGTATTGAGCACCATTATAACAGTGAAAATATTTTATTATTGTAACTTAATGTAATATATTATTTCGTATTTGTACACACTGAACTACTATAAAAGATTATGGCATCTACAAACCTGCGAGTTGATAAAAAAAAAAAGAAATAAAAAAATACCAACCGCTGCTGTGTTGTCTTCATTTTTTAAGTGTTCTGCGATAAATGTAACGGATTCAATAGCTTCAATAACTTCTCTTGTGTAGTATTTGTTTCTAAATAAAGCATTGGCAGCTGCATCTTCGCTGCTAGGTAATAACTCTTGTTCATGCATAGAACGCCTAAATCCCATGGACGTGGTGTGATGATACCCCGACACACCGCTGTGATCTCTGATTTCCATACCATTACATGTCCTTATCACAACTTTCTGAGGTTTCTCTGGTTCCAGATGTGGTCTGCGCATTACCAATAATTTTGGAAGTATGGTAAGGAAGACCCTTCTTACCCATGGAGACATCACATGCGTAGAAGGGGAACGGAAATGGACGTTTAATACGACAACTGTCACTATAATTGAAAGTGTCACAAGAATCATTGTAAACAGTAAGTATTTACCAATGAGTGGAACGACAATTGACGTAGGAGGAATAATTTCAGCTAACAGCAGGAAAAACACAGTCAATGAAAGGAGGATAGAGATACACAATGTCACTTTTTCACCTGAATCGGACGGTAGATAAAACACTAGAACAGTGAGGAACGAGATAGCCACACACGGGATTATTAGGTTTACTGTATAAAAGAGTGTCTTTCTTCGCATTGATATATAGAACGTTATATCAGGATACAGTTCAATGCAACACGGGTAATTTCGAACATTTCTTTTAGCCCAAACAGCTAGGAGATCCCATTCTACGCTTGGATAAAAGTCTCTGATATCTATTCCCGGCCTAATTTCAACGCCAGACTCCTCGTTGATAGAGCAGTAGTGCACCAAATCGACCTGATTACCGTCATAGGTCCATGATCCGAATTTCATAGAACATGTCTGGACATCAAATGGAAAGAACTCGACATCAATTGTGCAGGAACTCTTGTAGATAGCTGGTGGCTCCCATACTACTAAACCGTTTGGATGCAATGTTGCCTTTGTCATAAGTGTAACTTCATAATTACCATCCGCACTGAAAAAAGATATCAATTTTGTGAAATTGTTCATCTTTGATTAAAGGATAAAAGGGTTTCAAGTTCATAGCCGAAGTTTAAATGAATTTTAATGAGAAGACTTGACGGATAATCTGGTGTAGCTTAGGTCAAATACTACACCATTGACGCATTATTGGCCAATGAAGCATTCACGAAAGGAGAGTGATTTATATAATGCTATAATATGATATTTCTAACTGATTAGCTCGTACAAGTGATTCTCCGTATAACCTTATATTCACTTCTGATTGGCGCTTAATTTGTGTCGATCATGCGTAAGTCAGTCAATTACGATCTAATCTCTTACAGCGTCGGTGTTTTAGTTCATGATATCAGGTCTTGTAATAAGAAACAAGATACAAGAAGTATGCTGTTTTGAAAACCTGTAAGTTTGAGTCTAACTTGAAAGAGTAAGTTGGGCGTAGTACGTCTTTTCGTAATAAAATATTTAATTTACACCTGTTTACTGGTGATCACATTCCGATTTTCTATATATCGGCTTTACTTATCAATCTTCAAAGTGTGATGACTGCTTAATTAACAAACACCCTTAAGTAGTTTGAAATTTTAGTAAGGGCAATTAAATGCAGCTCATAAGGATTTTCCAAGTTCTTCAAAAATATACTTTCAGTAAAGTTTACAAGTTGAGGAATAAATAAATATATTATGTTCATGGTACTCAGGATCCTTCACAACTAAATCAAAATTCGTCAATAACTAGTGATAGAAAGACAAACGGGCAGACGAAGGTGATGACCATCCACCATGTTTTACGTGGTCATATAATAAGAGGTCAAACGATTTATGTCTGAATATGAACTGTCTGGAGACTGTTTTAAATTGCAGTCAAATTGGTTACAAGACGAGTCTATAAAAGTAACCTTATTCAATTATTTTCAAAACATCTTAACACCCACGGAGATGTTTATTTGAAAGAGTGGATCAAGATTTACGACGTTTTGACTTCAACGACTCGCCAATAAATAAGACTTACTTGTTATACAGTACGACATCGGGTGACCATATATCACTAGCCGGCACTTCAAGATGTTTTATGCCCCCGTATTCATACGGGTCCCACTGAAGACTCATATCAAACCATTCCTTTGTGACGAGGAAAAATAAGCTCGTTGAAATTGACTAGATGCAAGACTGTTAAGTGCCGATGAGGTTAAGATGCCAAATTCATTAAAAGAACCACTCCAGTGCTGATTAGTAAGTAATGGTTAAACAGAGAAAAGGGAGAGCACATGCGTTCAGAAAGAAAACCATGTCCACCATAGCTGTATATAGTTGTATAGAAAGAACGAACTTGTTGAATCATGAATATTCAAATTGGCAAGTGAAGTGTCGATTTAATCAACTTCCCCATAATGATTTACAGTCAATAATCACGGAGGCAATTTTAGAAGCGGATATTTGGTTTCTGAGTTAAGTATAGTGATACAAACATCGGATCTAATCGAAACACCAAGCTTTTAAGGTTTCCTTGTTATACTTCGTGATTTGCTTTTGGCTGCTAGGGAAATAAAATGTTAAATATTCTCCAATATGGATTCATAATTCATACAAGTTCGATTCTCAAATCCCATTCCAGCAGACTTACTTATTATAAAGGACTACATCTGGAAGCCAAATTTCTCTAGAAGGTACATAAAGTTTATCTACCCCACCATATTCACTAGGCGACCAGGTTAAAGTTTTATCATACCATTCCTAAAAGATTATATTATAGTCTTGTACGGTTACCAGGATGTCAATTGTTATTCTCTTCGCTTCATTAAATAGTTTCCGAAAACATGTGTTCATTCGTATCAGAAAATAGTTTTATAGCCTTTTTGGCAAAGTGTCACGGTAACGTTACAAGACCATAATTCAAAAGCCATGCAGGTTTTAGAAAAAAAATCCATGAGGTTAGATGAGAGCATAAGTCTTTTTGAAAGAAAAAGATTCTACCAACTAAAGGAAAAACTTAAACGTTTAAACTAATAGCTGTTGCAGTATTCTGCAAATGCTTCTTCTGAAAATTAAATTCGCGAATCGAATCTGGAAAAAACATTAACATTGGTGTTATTTCCTTACCAACAATCCCTCGAATATCAAATACAGGAAACAAGCCGCTTAGCTTTGAAAATAAAAACCCCGCATCGTTCGGATGTATAAAGAGTATTACAACTTACACACGTCCATATTGCAATTTTCCTTAACTTCATTTCGAAATGTGTAATGTTACTTCGCGCTTTGAAAAATTGGCATATGTGTTACTTGCTATATAGTTTCCCAAGCCTTAAGGAATGTGTGAGTAAATGTTAGATGGTGAAAGTGCATTAGCTGTAAGTTACCTTTTAGAAAGTACCACCACCAACAGCAATTATAAAATTGGTTACATAGTCATACCCGATAATATTTATTTATTCTAATCCAAAATGCATTCACGGTGACCATGGCGATTACCGGTTGCATATAGTTGCGAATAACGAAAGTGATTATGAGTTCCGAACGCAACCTCACAACTCAGTTGCATGGGAGTTGCGTTCAAAACTTATGACCTGTTCTTATTCTCAACTGGTGATCGTTATTGTGTGTGGGCCCTTAACACCATATATATTATTTACAACTATTGTAAAATGAACTAAATTACACGAATCCTGTAAATCAAAGTTTTAATTATTTTCATAATCAGATTTTATAAATACAATTTTATTACCAATCTATGAATATGTAACCAATAAAATGCAAAATGAATTAATAGAATTATGCATATTAATATATATACAAAACAAGTTGCAATAATTTGTCATAAGTATATCAGGAGTTGACATTGGCATGTATCCATCATCTATAACTTGACACAAAGATGCTGATGGTAGTAATGTCCTAGACCACTACATCTAATGATTTCTATTGTAATAGATAATAGAAAACGTGACAGAATAACCAGGGTGATTCATTCATCAAAAAGGGGGCAAAGTAGATGCCAAATTTAGTGATTTCCGGTCGAGCAGTTTCATTGATGGTCTCAATACCTCATTTCTGACGGGTTTGAGATTCAAAGGCTTCTGAGTAGTTAACTATTTATTTCAATGAAGAATAGTGGAAGTAGATTAAAGTGTGATCAGGCGTGACAAAGTACAGACGATAGTCAATTTGAAATAAGGATCTGTTCGATTTGCCAGCAGGAAGGCTAAGATTCACTATGAGTCAATGAAAAAGCTTAAGATTATTCTTCCCCAAGCCAAAATATTGACAGTTCAGTGTACTTTATTGGCAGCAATATTTAACGAGTGGTGTTTGGATTATGAAGATATGCTTCAAGCGCCTCCATTACTTGGTTGTATTTAATTTGAATATTATCCGTAATCAGTTGGAACCTTGAAAATATGTGAGGTGCTGACCTTATTATACTAAGCAACCTGCTATGCCTTACTTTATTTGTAATTATAGAGAATTTCTCATGACGTTCTATAGAGTGCAGAGCCAACAGCGGTAACTAGTACGCAGATTTTAACCTTGATACCTTTCAAAGTAGAATGCTAATTTTGACATGTTCCAACCATAGCATACGGAATTTTAAATTACAATGAAAAATGACTTATCTGCACCTAAATGTAATCAATTTTGATTTTTTTATGGTTAAATACGTGGAATATGGAAATATGTGGCCTAAATATAGCAAGTGTTTCTGATGTATTAAAGGCAGTAGTCTTAATCACTTGTAAATATTTAAATTTATACAAAGAGTTAGGACAATTTTTTTCTTAAATATTTGCTAAATCCTTCGACAACAAGTGAATCGAAAAAAGTGATTTAAAATGTTAACTAAACATTTACATTGAATTTCCCTTCAGGAAACACCAGTAGTTCCATCAATAGAGGAAATATCGATAAATTTCAGTTACCCTGGAACTACCAAAAGAACATCATTTCTATCAAGAGTTGGAAAATCGACCGCATTTTTCTTTTGGATATTTTCTTGCCAAACAAAATTTTATTGATAAATTTAAACAACCAGTGAAATAATCTTCTTAGTCAGAAAAGGAGGTCAAATGGAAGGAGAAAGACTGAATGCCCTTAGATGTTTACATTGATAAATTGAAATTCATCAACTTTGCTTCTTGATTAATGTATTTTGTGTACTGGAACATCAATCGTATTTCATGAAGTAAATTTTGCAATGATAATTTTTTTTTATGATAATTCGGTGGAATAAGCTAACTTATTTTTTCTTTGAAGTTATTATGTTGAATAAATTAGTTTCTGATGACAACAGAAGGCTCTGTAAGCTGTTGACAATATGCAGTATACAATGAATGGAAATGTGTCAGAACAGTGGCACAAGCGTACTTCTTACAACTATCGAGTAATCTTGAACATACACAGCGGAGTCCCGTTTTTTTTTTCACCCATCCCATGCGTTTTTCAATGCAAATTTCACGAACACCTCATTTCAAACTTCCTCGTTAAGAAAGACTGCTGAATTTGCGCCAAACTGATCATACTTCATACATACCTGTCTCAGCCAAACATTGGTTGTCATAATTTGGTCTTTTTCGTGCTGTAAAGAAAAAAGAAGATATGCCTTTATAAATTGCGTTTAACATGAAAATCATCAGCTATACTAAACAATGACAAGGTGACACCAATATTCATTAGTATAACGTCGCACGTCAAATTTGACAAAATCAACACATAAAACATAAATTGCCTTCAAAAGAGGCCCTCACACAATAGCGATCATCAGTTATATATGGTTGCGAATGAAAAATAGATTGGTTCGCAACAATACACTGCTGATGATAACTGATGTGAGAGCAACTATAGGTTAAAAATTGACAAAATTGTTGATTTCGGCTGCGTTTGGTGCGTACAATTATATGTTACATTGCTATGGTGTCAGGGCCCCTCTCATTTTTCTATCAATGAATTTCTTAAGCGTTATTTTATAACTTAATTCCCATATCGATTTCAAAACAGTACTGCTAGATGCGCAATTTTGTTAAAAAAAACCGTAATCTGACACAAAGGTCAAAAATTTGTGCCGAAAGTTAGGCTAATGATAAAAATATTTGGAAACCAGTTAACAAGAGAACTAGCCTGGAATGTCTCATAGTGCGTGAGATATTTCCAAGCTTTCTGCGTCAACGAGATAAAGTATTCTTAGAGGATTATCAATGCCTAGTTGAGGCATTAAATCTCCATGAAGGTAATCATAGTGGTTTTATTATTAAATCTCCATTAAAGATGTTCTTTTAAATTATTATCACAAGGGATTATATTAGCTACATTGATAAAACCATAATTACAATATCATATTCTACCAATATTCCCCAGGCAAAGATATCAAAACCTGAGATTTATTTTTACCAGTCTGATAACTACGTGATTTCAAATATCATTATGTCGTTGTAAATGTTATTTAAATGTATTATCCCAATTAGAATTTTATATATATTTTTTATACTTAAATATTACGTCTTTTTGTATATTTGTAATGTATTTGCGGATGTTATATCTTGACCAAACGACACCTTCATGAAGGTTCCATTATGATTGTACTTATATACTACATTTAATATGATATCTTTTATTATAATGTAATTGCGGATATAATATCCCGACAAAACGCCACCTTCATGAATCTTTTCTTATACCTTTTACGGATGCTTATCTTGACCAAAATGTACCTTTATGAAAGTTCCATTATGTTATACCAATATAAAACACTTAAATGCGGATGTAATATCCACACCAAAATGCATAACGGTTCCAACACGTTTTATTAAATGCTTCTTTCTGACCAACAGATAATGATTTGGGAACCAATTTACTCAAAATTCCTATGCTAAGAAAGAGGCAGCAGTTATAATTTGGTTATAATGTAGAATGTCTCTTGTATCTTAAAAACACACTAATTGAACGGTTACATTCCAGAACTTTGGTTTAAGGTCGGCTTAGGATACGAAGTAGCCCTGGGAAAGGGCTTAATCTAATAAGTAGTAAGTAACTTCTTCAAGAATTTATAAAGCGGTTAAACTTCAGATAAGCTGGAAGTTCTCACAAACGAATTATAAAAGCATACTCTTCTTGTAAAATAAAGTTTCAGTAAATTTGAAATATTGAAGAATCAGGCTGGACCTGAAACAATAATAATCCTGCAAAAAGCAGATTGGATGGTGCAATCCTGGATGCGTTCAGAACTCTTTCACATAGTTTTACGCACATAAATTTTTTTTGCATGAAAAAAATGACCCATTTTATATACGGCTGCACATTGCTGTAAATATTGTACATGAGAAAAGGAAGGAAACGAAATAATATAATGAAATAGGACTGGTTTGAAGTGTCCTCCAAAGGGCGAGGTAATCATTTCGACAAATTGACTTGAGAGAACGAGAACGATTTTTCTGAAAGAAACGATGGAAGTAAATTGCTGCGACGTAATAAAGTGGGGCGTTGAGTGGACATTTTTTCTTTCTGAAGGAGGACCAAAATTCCGAGAAGACTTTACAATTACAGATATTTGGAAAGGGTAAAGTCAATTCATCTTATTGATTTTGGAATGTAAGTGATTGGATGAATAGAACGTCGTGTGGTGTCTTGTCGATATGGAACGACATCTGGATGGAAATCGGCGAATCTAATTTACATGAAATCAGCACAAGATGTCAAACCAACTTATGCCAATGTCTAAATATGTAGAAATTGGAAAAGCAAGGAATTATACTTCTATTGAAATAAAACCACTGGTATTACATTTCTCTATAAGCAAATTACATTGCAAAATGGGGTAATCTGATTCTAATGAATCATGTGCATGGTCTTGATTTGAAAGACCTTTGGATGGGCATGTTGAATTGGTTTGAATAAACTATAATTTGTTGAAAATAATAAATGAAATTGATACTGAGCGGTTTTCGGCATTTTTAAAACAAATTGGATTTATCCCCTCTGTCAGACATGATTTCATTTCGGAAGCGTTCATCGTGCTGTAGAAATTTGTTTTAGAAAAGGACCATTTTCAGTAAAAGATCTCTTTGTCTATTCATCTATAACGGCATTAGCCGTCCAATAATTGACTCTATACACATGAAAATAAAAAAGCGTTCTTCACTATATAAATAATTTACCTACCGCAATCGTTATCTTATTTCATAAGGATGCTTATAATGAAACTAGATTTAGACCTTTCAAATATTTAAAGGATATTGATATTGACTTTTAATAGTCTGATATTATTTGCCATGTTGATAATATTTGTAATGTAAATAATACAAAATCAATATAGTAGAGAAATGCAGACTTGATTATAATCGAACTTTGAGCAGTTGACCGAATACGTTATTCCACACAACAACGATTGACGAAAAAGGTCTAAAAAAAATATTAAATTTGCCTATGGGAGGCGAAGAGATTGAAGAGGATTATGTATGGAGTGCAAAAAAAAGGTTCAAAAACATTGAAACATAATGCCTATATATTTTTTTCTGTTCTTTGTTCTTTGGACCTATATTTACATCATCTCAAAACCAGGCAACTAATGCAACTCAACTCGTTCGAAAAAAAGTTACCGAAAGCGGCTATGGTGTTCAGTTATATATGATATTTTTTTTCAAGGTATTTTGTTATTGTTTACAACTCACAATTCGTTTAATTATTCCATCTTCGCTATAAAAATATTTTCAGTAAGAGGCCGACAGTCTTATCGCAACATAAAGTAGAGCTAAATTACATTTTTAATCAAAAAGAAGAAAAAATATCATTTACATAAGTGAGTGGGAAAAGTCTGAGACATCTATAAAGTTATTGGAAGATAACATTTATACCAAAATATACAAAATTAGATTTTTCTTAATAATGTTGAAAGCTTTAAATAAATGCCAATCTAAGTCTATCAGTCTGAATAGATATTAGGAAAATAATTCTTGTTAATTCCTGATACGGTGTTTAAATCACGATCTAACACTTGTAATCAGCTTGACCTACAGACGATCAGTTCCATTATTCGGGTTTTTTTCCCCAGAATACAGTCGATACATACACTTAATTAAGAAAATATTATTTCAAAGGATATGTACCACTTAAAATACCATTTAAAGGGACACGTAACAATTTAAGGAAAAGTCTTACTTAAAAAATTCCCGCTCAATTTAAGAAAACGTTATTTAAACGTTCACGACCAAAATTGTTCATAAAGATACATTTTCTGTTAGAAGAACACGTAGATTTAATTTACACAAAAATCATTTAAAGGGTGATGTACATTAAATATATTCAAAAGACAGCAACTTGTCACTTGAAAAAGCTGGTATACTATGAAAACTTATTTCTGTATTCCCATCTTAATTGATATACTGACCATTTCATTTTCTGTCAACAAACTTTCTTTCATGATATTTAGCGCCTTAAATTTTAAATTCAAAAACAGACCGATACAATATGGTGAGAATTACTGCATATGTTAAAAATTCAGACTCGTTTGTCCTGAAACGATTTGGGTAGGACGTAAAACTCCATTCATTTCATTTCATTTCTGAAACGATTTGGAATCAAATCTTTATACCGAGAAACGTTGCATTAGAAACATATTCAATTTCGATTTAATAGGACAAACGGATCCAGACGCACGAACCCGGGGCGAACATGTATAAGGTCGAACGGACCCCTGCCATCTGTTACACGATGTAGCTTTGAACTCAGAGAAAAAAGGCTCTCGAGAAAAATATTTCCACCCTATTAATTTACACAAGTTTGTTCGTCAATAACTTCTACGGTAACATGTCCAAACCATTTTATATGTCACCACTTTTCTTTAAATTGATTAGAAGTTGGCGATTTTCGACATCGAAGCGATTCAGCGTAATAAGTTTTCTATCCAGCTGTCATGTCTGTGAATGTTGAAATTGAATCTACTAACCCGAATCTGTCACACTATTTATCTGAGAATGATTTATTTTATATTGTGATTTTCATTCCAAACTAATCTGTTAGATGGAGAAAAAATCCCGTTACCTTCTTCGCTAGGACATTGAGACTGCTGGTAAAAGAACATTCCACTAAGTCCTAATGATGTTTGTTTGCTAAGATTTTACACCTCGGGTCCCAATAGTCTGCTTTAAAACGCCTACCAGTGAGCTGATAAAATCATTTCTAAAAGGCTATTAACCCCGAAGCTTATTAAAGTTTTTCAAACTGAATTCTAAAGAAGAGACTTTGACGCGTCTAATCCCGAGGTTTCTATAACAAAATATTACTGCATATAAAAAAACATACAAAATAAAAAATATTAGCCGTATTTCTTCTCTACAAATTGGAGGGCCAAACAAGCACATAAAAACTTAAATATACACTGCATATCTAGTGCAATAGACAATACATTCTATCGCGAAATCACAGTGAAGTTTTCAGTTTTATACAAAGCTTGCGTTTTGTTTGATTAATGAAATAGCCCAAGATCTTTGGAAAGCAAATTAGTTTGTCCCTTGAAAACCTCAGTGGAGATTCACCAATTAAAAGGTCGTGTCCCAACTCATCTATCAAACAGCACTCGGACACATA